AGTCGCCAAACCCGCTGAAAACATGTACACAAGGGTTATTTACCATCCTGATTACAATTATGACACTCATTCTTGGCGCTGGCGCCAAGGGATGACACTACGATTACCTCTTGGGCTCAGCCTTAGCGGAGCGCAGATAATCGTAGTGTCATCCATTAGCGCCAGCGGCAAGTTTTTAGCGGATTTGGTGACTTAGGCAATTTAAAAATGAGCTCGGTGCCGAAATTGCTGGAGTCCAAACGGCATTAGCCGAGTTTAAATGACTAAAGATGTTTTATGTTCAGCTCGGACCTCCTCAATCGTTTTTAATCGATGACACCCATACCCCACTTGCATCTGTGCCTCTTCCGTTTTCTTGTGATGATACCTACTTTTCGGACTGGCCAGAAGAGATGTGTCAAAACGTTTACAGGTGGGTGATATTTCTATGACTGCTAATGCTCGGCTAAATGTACTCTTGTTCGCTGCTGATGTGCCACTGCGCCAAACCCGTCCTCTACCACTTGCTAAAGCGCTATGCGACAACAGTTGATAGGAAAACGAGTGACAGGAACGATATGATACGGTCTTATAAGTTGCTCGCTTCAGCAACTGGTAGGGAACCGGTTTGGCACCGCGCCATCCCCTGACACTCCGCTTCGTCCGCAGCGAGCTAGACATTACACTGTTTGATAGTTGAAAGGAGTGGGCACGATTGCTGGAGGCGGGCGGTTGTTACTACTGTCATTGGTGGAAGGGCTACGACGGGGCGTTTTTTGTCGGTCAGCTATGCACAGGTGGGGATTGCACGCGCGTGACACCCTTTGGAACGCCACGATGCTGCAGCAAGGGTCTGAACTGTTCTCTCACTCCTTTGATTCTGAGCTTGACACTTGAATTTTGAGATTTCTTCAGGTAATAGTATAGTTGTTGGAACTGCAGCCGTGAAAGTTTACTGTATAACAAGCGCACCCAAACAACTACTCTTGCAGGAGGCCAAAACCATTGCCTGCTCACCCAGCTATGTCAACTATTCAGTTCGTAGGCTATGCACCAAACCCACGTGCTAATACTCCGATGGCGTATTTTAATGTTGTTCCATACTATCTGGACGGACAGGAATCCTGTGGTCAGTTGACAGTTATAGCTTTGAATGCAACTTCCGTTTCGTGTTCTTATACTCGTTTTATAGAGGAAGAAGATGATCCCGGACCAGTCATCATTCCCCAGTTTTACCGCAAGTTGGAAGTTCGCCGTTCACGCAGTGGAAGGCCTGAAGATAATGCTGTTTTGAAATACAACAAGACAGACTATGTGCCAATGGAGAACGTCGCGTCCAGCGCCATTATCAACCCGATAGTGCTGGTACGATCCTTTGCTCATAATGGAAATCCAGGTGTTCATTAGAGGT